ACTAAAAAAAAAAAAAAATGGTTTTGCCTAATGAGTAAAAAGGTGAATAATGTGAGCAGATGTGTGCTGTTTTTAACAATTACTCTAAAACGAAGAAGAAGGAAAAACCAGAGGATAAAAGGGGAAGGGATGAAAACTCATTAGGATGCCATTTGTAATAGACCCAGCAAGTGATGATGAGGAGCTAAACTGTAACAGTGGGGAGTCAGATGTGAAGGATTAAGTGACATGCCCAAGAACACAAGTCATGGGAACTGTCAGAATCAAAACCTGGGTCTTAGTTGCACTGATGTGGGGAAGGTATTTAGAATGGATGTGCAGAAAGACTTTATCGTGGAATTTCTAAGTCTTCTCTTTAATACTACTTTGTCCACAATGCTTGATTCTTTTGAAGTCCTATTTTATACTATCACACCAACTGTGGCCCAAAGTAAATAATCATACCAACTAGCACAGCATTTAGGAGGGTAACTTAGTAATTTTGTATAGCTGCATTAAAATAGGAGACTTAAGCTTCCTAATCCAGAGAGAAAATACAAGCATTTGAAATGCACTCTTTTGTAAAAGTAATAAGCTATTCCAAGAGATAAATTTACAGGACAAAATCTGTACAAGGGAGCTTCCAAATAAGCTTTTTAAATGAAGCTCCATCAGAGAAGTCATTTAAGAAGCCAGATTCACATTATATTAATGTGACAGTGTAACAAGATAAATACATCATATGGTTCTAAAATGACATTATTAATGTGGCTTATGTGACACATTCCTATTAATGATCTTTTATTATGTGTGAACAGTAAAATAACATTAGATAAGCAATAAAAAAAATCCAATCAGCAGCAGCTTCCTGGAGGCTTTCACTGCAGTCTGACTTACACAGTGTTATCTGATACTAATCCCTGGATTTTAAAGAGCAGAAATCAATCACTTCAGAAGTGTAAACAAGCATGTTCCTATGAGATGAGCATTTTAATTACTATCATTTCTGCAAATACAAGATAAAAGTAGTGTGCTGTGTGAGAGCCTATTACTGCAAAAGCGGGGGGAAGTACATGTGGCCAGGGCAATAGGGTGATGTTAATAAAGAGGATCATCACCCGGATCAGGAGCCTGGTCCCTGGAGCCTGGTGGTGTGTCTTAGCAATGACCGCCATGGAGATTTTGTGAATGTGTGCTTGTCCCCTCCCTCCCTGATGTTGTCTACAAAAGATTAGAAGTGAGTGTCCAAACATTCTGGTTTCTTTAATGATCCACTCCAGTCTATTATCTATGAATCAACTGAAATATTTTAAACCTTTTAATATTTAAAGTTCATACCACCTCTTAGGATAAAGTCTAAAAACACCAGTTTTATAAAGTAATAGTTCTTATTTACCTTTATATCAAGTAAATATTTATTGAGCATCTTTGGTATCTTTGGCACCAAAAAAGAGGTATGAGCTTGGCAGGTGTAGCTACACAGTGGCACAGTGTAGACCTATGAATCAGGACATCATGGTTCAATTCCCAGTCAGGGCACATGTCCAGGTTGCAGGCTCAATCTCCAGTGTGAGGCGTGCAGGAGGCAGCTGATCAGTGATTATCTCTCATCATTGATATTTCTATCTCTCCCTCTCCCTTGTCTCTGAAATCAATAAAAATATGTAATTTTTAAAAGAGGTGTGAAATATGGTTCTTATACTCAAGGAGCTTGAAGTATAGAGAGGCAGGATATATACATAAAAAGATAAAGATATACATAAAGAGATATGAAGGTTACTATCAATAAAAAATCATCAGCCTATCTCCGTGATGAGAGCCTTTCACAGACCTGTACTGAGTGCCGTGAGGATAAGAACCTTTGAGACCGGGGGGGGGGGGGGGGGGGGGGGGGGGGGAATCATCAGCCTAAAAGAGTAAAGATTCTAACTGCTCCAGGAATTTTGAGGAAGATAAGATCATTGTGTTTCTTCAAAAAGAAGGGGAGGCAATAACTCTGTCTTGGTGCTGATATCTAGAAAGAGGAAGCAAAGCTATAGCTAACCTTCATATACCGGGATCATCTCAGGTCTCAGGCTTTATCTTTCTTGTATAAAGAGCCCTGGTCATCAAAATCCCCGAGAACACTTGTGAAGCACACATGTCTTGAAGTAAATAAGTCCTGGTCTAGTCTAAGCTCTGATGCCCACCATGCTATGTGACTCTGATTTGGTCATTTCACTCCAAGTCTATATCCTTATTTATAAAATGCAAATTATAACACCTATTACTTCATTAGATAGATATAGAGCAAGCAGAGATGCCTAGCATAGATCAGGTACATAAAAATGGCACCTTCTATTTGTGATATTAAAATTCCATCCGTACCATAATGCCATCACAACTGCACAGAAGCTTGCTACTAGGGGAATTACGTGCCCTTGATGGGAGGCACTGTACTCGGAAGACCGGTCCCTATGGTCCTCACTAGTCCCGAAGGTGGAACACAATTACTCATGTTCTGGTGGTTTCTTTGTGAAAAAGGAGCAGATCCTACTTGAACCCTCCAGAGCCCACATTCTGAACGTTAGTGTTTAGTTTACCCCAGCAAGCAAAGAAAAGCAGAGTGAAGAGCTCCCCTTCCATCGTGTACCCAGCTGCATGCTCAGTTAGAAACAAAGAAACCTAGAACCTAGGGTCTCTCTCTCACAGGGAGACCAGCAGGAACAAAAAGCCAGCACTGGGAGAGGCTGAGCGGGCGCTATGATAGCAAGTTACCAGCATCCCAGTCACGATGGCCAGCTAGAGACAAATGTTGCTTATCGCTGCAGTCTCTGGATGATCTTCCTAGCTTTGTTCAAATCACATCAATGCAGTCTCACTTTTCATCTGTAGTGTAAATGGTTTTTATGAAACCGTTTGGCAAGACACATGGCATGTGACTGTACCACCACAAATGTGTTAACAGACACAGCCAGAAACCATGGCAGTGAGCTGGTCATGTGAATATTCTTGCAGGAATAAGAAAATAAATCTCCTCTTTGTAAAGACTTACTGCTGCCCTACCGGGGTTTAATACCGAGTCTCTTCCAAGGAACCTTCTATTTCCAATGGAGAAGCAAGAATTGTTCTCAAGCCACCACCAAACAGTCAGACGATATTTGATGGCTCAGCTTATTTTTTAATCTTCTATGAACTCTTCAGAATTGTATCTGGATCCTTATAACATGATTTGGGATTATGAATGCAGTGAATAAACACAACCTTCTGGTATAGCAATTTAAGCATCAGGGTGAATAAATACTGCGGAGTGAATCCTAACACTTGAAACAGAATCTTCCAGAGTCCAGAAATCCACCTGACTGCCAAGAATAATACTTCCGTGGTTCAAGCAACACCAGTACCCAGAGGGGTTTTCACAGACATAACCACATGAGTTACTGCATATTGGGTAAAATAGAAAAAACAGACATTTATGAATGTATAGTTTGCAGACATCTTAAAAGTACTCATAAATATGCAATTTACAAATATAGAAGAAATTGGGGGGAGGGCTTCAGAAATACACAGCATCTGTTTAAACTGCTTACTTAACTGTATGGTTTCTTCTGTGGATTTTCCTCATCCTAACTCTGATTTTTATGAGGATCTCGGGGAGGGGAGGGAGAAATACAGGGATTGCTTAACTAAAATAAACCAATCTCTATGATGAGAACTAATATATGAAAGATTCCGGCTTCGGAATGAGGGGGAAATGACTTAGTGTCAGAGATCAAAATGGAATCAATTAGATAGCAAAGAAAGCCTTTCCATTCACCAGGCTATCCTGAAGCAGGGTTTGTTAGAATCTCTAGCAATAAGACAAATGCACAGTATCTTCTCATGCATCTCACACGATCTCTATTTCAGCTCTGATGTAAAACATGGTATCACACATCATGCCACAAAGAAGGAGTCAGTTTAGCTAGTTCAAGTAAAACACCAGGCAGCTGCTACCAGAGACAGGTCGGGGCTGGGGAAGGGCACAGCACATTCAGTTCGCTGTGTTTTCCCTCAGAAGAATGTCAATAAAAACCGAGGCCAACTGAGGTGGGGGGTGGGGGAGGCGTCGTGCTGTGCAGTGAACCACCGGGTTCATCTAACAGTTAGCGCCAGTCAGACAAGTTAGCAAAAGGGAGCCCTGGCCAAACGCAGATGCCAACGACTTGAAGAAAGCCGTCTTTCTCCCTGACCGTCGTGGGGTAGGGACCGGTCCCACATTTAGAAACGTTATTTCTGGGACCAATAGCGATTTATTTTGATAGAACCACTGGATTTTTTTTTCCTGGAGTTCTCAACAAAGGAGCCATATTAGGAAATAATCTTGCAAAAAGCAAGTGCCCCCTCCCCCTCTTCCCCGCGATCGATGTACACACGCCCGTGCGCGCTGACACACAGCCACACAGCAGTGCACAATGGCCGGCTCCCGCTCCGGGACCGCAGGCAGAGGCCCTCCCGGGCAGGGCCCCAGGCACTCGGTCCGGAGGCCCCGCAGCCTGGCTGCAGGGAACCAGCTGCCGGCGGCTTGTGCTGGGGATGCTCGCCCCCCAGCGGGGCCCTGGGGAAGCGGCTGCCAGCGGCTCGGAGCCCATTAACCCCTTGGGGACGTAGGTGCCACAACACCCACCTGCGGGGGCATCGGAATGTGTGGGGGTGCAGCCCCAGTGGCTCCCCGGGAACGGGGCGTTCCCAGGCCCCGGGCAGCTCTGGGCCGGCTCCGGCAGAGCTAACGGTGCCCTGGCTCCGCCGGGCTTCTGGAGCCACGGCTGGCTCCGAGCTGTCACCCCCGCCGCTCCGGCCAGACCAGCCGAGAGGGGAAAACTTGAGCGGCAGTGGACGCAGCCCGGACTTGGCAACTCGTCCCCAAGGGAGTGGCGCCAGTCCCGAAGGGGACAGAGCTGCGGGACCGGCCAACCGGGAGCAGAGGAGGGACCCGAGGGACCCGCTCCCTGGCACCCTTCCCCGCGGAGGGCATCGGGCCGGCCCCGCGCCAGGACACTTACCTTCTTCCGGGGCTGCCATTTCATCATATTTGTACAGCCGAGACGTGGATCATCAAGATGCTGGCTGGGGGCTGGGGGCAGACGCAGGGCAGCAGCGACTGCAAGTCATGCTGCCTCCCTCCCACCCCCTAATTCTTCCCCATGTTCACTGCGAAGGGGGAAAGCCCAGGAGAGTCCGGCCTCTTCGCGTTCAGTTCAGTGAAAAGTATCCCCAAACCACGACCGCACTTCCCACTGGGCTAGGAAGCCGCCGCGGCCAGCCTGCCCCTCCGGCCAGAGCGGGGCATCTTCGCCCCGGCCGGCACCGCAAACGGAGCCGGGGCCGGGCTCCCGCGCAGAGACCTCCCTCAGAGGAGGGCTGCAAAACAGGAGCTGCCGCGGAAAGCCCGCCGGGCTTCTGCCATCCAAACCCCTTCTGGCGAATTCTCCTCTCCTCAAAAAAAGAAAAAGGAAAAAAGGAAAAAAGAAGAAGAAGAAAAAAGATTAGACAAGCAATCAAACCCTCACGCGCAGCCTGGAGCAATTCCCAAAATTCTGGGTGTATTTCTCGTTTGTAAAATTTAGCAAAGAAAATTCCAAAGATCTGTAATCAGAGCTTCTGGACGCTGTTTTCTCCTCCTTCTTGGATAACTTGAGGAAAGGATCTGCCCTTCCCCAAGTGCCTACCTTCCCTAAACACTGTAAATAGGAAAACTTGGTTTGTGTGTTTAGATTTTTTTTTTTTAATTCCCAAGAACCTTAGTGGGGAAAGGCTGGAAGGAAATCCTGCAAGAACCCAACTCCACAGCTCAGTCTGCACTAATGACTTCCTTCCCTTCAGAGCGAGCGCACAGCCAGCCCCGCTCCAGCCACACAGAGCAAACGGTTTCTGGGTCTTAGTGCCCCACATCTGCTCCAAAGCAACAAGTAAAACAAACAATTCCGAGGTACCCAACAGCTCCTAAGGAATCACAGCCAGAAGAGACCTACAAAATCAGAAAATCCTTTCAAAAGATGTACTCAGATTTGTAAGTTATGCTGAGAGAGAGAAAGAAACAGGAAAGGACTCTAGATCAAAAGGCTACAAAATCTTAATGTGTGATTGGAAGCGAAAAGCGTTGAGTAACTGACAAGTTAAAAAAAATTGATCAAGAATAGACTCTGTATATAATAAAATAAAATAAAAACTGACCACAAACTAAATACTAAGTATAAGGATAGGGAAAAGGAATTTAATTTTTAGAAAACGTACATATAGATGAGTATGTATATCTACATAGATGACACATAGATAAACGATCGATAGGTAGATAGGTAGATAGATAGAAATGAAGTTGAAGCTTACTTTAAGGGTCATATAATAATACCACAAACACCCATTTACCAACCCCCAAACTTCAGTAGAATATTACCAACCCCTCTGTCAACTCTGGCCCTGCCAGCTCCTGCCTCCGAATCCCTAAAGGTGACCCCAGCCCAAATTTTGTGATCATTCTCTCGATTTTCTTTATCTTATCCACATATGTATCTGTCCCTAAACAATGCATTGCTTAGTTTTCCTTATTTTTTATCTCTGTATAAATAAAATCACTTTATGTAAAAAAAAAAAAAAGGACTGCTTTTCTAAATTTAGCAATATTTCTTACTATAAAAAATATTTCTATGGAGATTGAGTTTCATTCATCTTCGGTAAAATGATTCTATCCTATTTAGGGAGATGCATCTCTAAATACAGAATACTATGTAATTCTATTATTTGGCATCCAACATGACTATCAACTCCTATCCCATCATGAGGTTATTTTGATAGCAAGGATTATAAAAAGTAGCAAGCTACTAAAACACTAACTGGTATATATAATAATAGTAACGTGTACAATGTCCCAACAATGTTTCACTCATTATTCTTAGAGCTCTCTATGCATTGGCAGGATTGGCTGACATGGGTGATTATATGCAAATTGGATACTAGCTATATTATAAATGTCATTAAAATAGTCAAAGCAGCCCTGGCCGCTTTAGCTCAGTGGTTAGAGCGCTGGCCTATGGATTTTAGGGTCTCAGGTCTGATTCCTGGTCAAGGGCATGTGCCTGGGCTGCAGATGCACTTCCCACCCCTGGTCAGGATGCGTGCGGGAGGCAACCAAAAGATGTGTCTCTCTCACATCAACATGTCTCTCACTCTCTCCTCCTCACTCCCTTCCACTCTTTCTCTGAAAAGCAATGGAAGGGGTATCCTCGGGTGAGGATTAAAAACAAGCAAAATAAAATAGTCAAAACAGTTAACTGAAACAGATTACTTTTGAGATCTTTTCTAAGCCTAAGAGCCTGAAATTTAAGTGACAGCATTATCTTTGTAATAGTATCATTAATTACAACTGAATGAATAGTTACTATTTCTTAAGTCGCTACTCTATGCCAGGATCTATGCCCGAAATTATTATCTCACAGCCCTGCAAGGAAGGTCCTCATTTTCCAGATGAGGACACACATTCAGAGAGGTCACTTATTCAACCAAGACAATACACACAGAAGGTGAGAAGACTGGGATTCCAAGCCACAATGAACTAATTCCAGAGCCCTTCCCATGACGTGCATCAGAGCTATACACCCACCTTACCTCTCATCTTGAGAACACCATTAATTGCCTAGGACTTAAGCACCTATTATTTGCCAGTCTCTGTTCCAGGCACTAGAAATGAGTAACAGGCTGTCCATGCTCTTGTAATTACATACTGCAGGCAGCAGTCACAAACAATACCAATACTCTGTATATGTTCTGGCATCCAAGTCATTCTACACAGTTTAATGTGAATATCCTACTCGCACAGGAAGTTCCAATTCCAAACCAAATCCACCAATCTATCCCAAAATCGATTTATTTTGCCCACTTTCCTTTCTCTCTCCATAGCACTGTTACTCTTCCAGGATCACAAACTAAAACCTTAGCAACCTTCCTTACATCTAATCTATCACCAAGTCCCTTCACTTCTTTCTTAGACGTTGCTTTCAAATTCCTACCCTGACATCGGGGGCCAGGGCCTCATAAAACAAACATATATTAAATACCAATGAGGTGGAAAGCATCATGTAGGTGAAGGCTATGCCTATGCTAGAGGAAGTTCCAAAAAATTAGGACAGAACAGAAAACCTATAAGAAGACAACCAAGAATTGCCTTACCAGTTAAGTAACATATGAGTTATGTATTAAATAAGTGTTTCAGGAGTTAGAATGAGAAATTACTGTCAATAAAGATGGTTAAAGAAAGTTTTATAATTAAAAATTCAGAGATGATGCAACTCATTCTAGAGCATAAGGCCAAGGAACCATGGTCAGTAATGCAGTTCAGGATCTGGACCCCTCAACCTTTCAGAACTCATCTCTTACTTCTCTCTCAGCCCATCTCATGTCCCTTGAACACATCAAGCACATACTCGTTGCACCCTCTGCCTGAATCACTCTTCCTCTAGCTTAAACCACTCACTTTCGCATGTGTAAATTAAGGGACCTACGTGGTTCCTAATCTGTGGGGTAGTTTTCTGAAGGCATTTGTGAATCTATATGCATATGCATATCACGCAGGGTCCGTGAACTAAAGAGCAATCCCCCATGCTCAGATGTTATTGGACTTAAAAGACAGGTATTTAAATTGGGGGGAAGGGTCTGAGAACAGTGGACTGTCTCAGGAAAGGAGACAGAAAATATATTTATGTTTCCATAGAACGACAGAACCAATTTAAAGCTTCAAAGTAATACAAGCCTTTAAATTAGATTTCAATTTTTTAGGTATAGTTCTTTTGGGTCACTTCCTTGTATGACATTTCTCCCCCTGCTGTCTGGTAAGTGTTTCCGCTTTCATTTAATAGGTACGACTCAATAGGAGACTAGTACCTAGAAGCCTTTCAATACCAATACTATCTTAAATTACCTTATTGTTTTTCCTTCATGTCTTTATTTTGTTTACTCCTAGTTGAATCAGTAATTATACCTGAAATATTTAAAGAATTACTATTATACCAATATATTTTCTCCATTAGGATGATTAATATAGAGCTACCAAGCTAACACAGTTCAAAATGGTATCATTCAGCCTTTTGTTCCAAAGATCCAATATCAAACAGCAAAAACACTATTTCTCAGATCTGCAGCTACTAGAAGACATTTTTACAACTCCTTCGTTTTTTAATGTAGCACTTCTCAAATCACTTCTCTAAAAGCATATATTGTAAAAGTCTATTAAAATAGTATTTCCTCATTAACTACTTGCCAATTCAAAGTCAATTTAAAAAAAGGAAGAAAACACAGCTTTTTTCATTGCTGTGAATTTCTTCAAGATCTCCTAAGAAGTGATATGTCTGACATTCATCAGAGGATAAATACCTGAAAAAGCAAGCCTCACACTTATTTAGATTTATTATTTTAAAAGTAGGATATTAAATTCCATGTGAAACAGTATTTGAAAAAGTCTATTAATATTCTTAAAGACATCTAAATTATTTTCAATTATCTAAAAAGGTGTTAGAAGAGTAAAAGAAGGGATAAAGCTAGAAGCAGATTTGAACACTGACCTATGAACCAGGAGGTTGCGGTTCAATTTCCGACCAGGGCACATGCCCAGGTTTTGGGCTTGATCCCCAGTGTGGGGTGTGCAGGAGGCAGCTGATCAATGATTCTCTCTTATCATTGATGTTTTTCTCTCCCTCTCCCTTCCTCTCAGAAATCAATTTTTTAAAAAAAATTTTTTGTTTGTTTTAATAGCAATTTTATAGGAAAGGTGGTAAAGTATCCTTTCAAAAAGCAAAGAAAGGGTTTGTGGAGGACTATTCCAGATTAACAGAGCCAAACATGGAGGAATAAAAAATGTAGGCCACATTACCACGTCATCTAATAAATCTGAAACCTATAATGCAAGGCGACATATAGTGGAAGTTACGGTTACAAGGTTGTGAATGCTATTATCTTAACAGTATTAATACTATCATTTTCATTTTATTATGTGCCAGGCATTAAAGTTATTGTATATTTTTGTTGTTGATGATGATGATTCTTCCTAATACCTTTGTGAGAAGGAACTATTATTATGCCCATTTTACAGAAGAAGAAGTTAAGGCTAAGAGGTTAAGAAAATTTCCAAAGTACCGTGGCTAGAAAGTAATAGAAAAAAAATTCAAATCAGTGGGACTAGGAAGCCTTGTTCTTAATTCTTGCCTTAGAATACAATGATGAGCAAGCACAGGATTTTCAGGGTTTTAAGCAAGGTATCAGCAAACCCATTTGAGTTTTAGTTAACCCTGGAAGTATTGTGAAGAACAGACAGAACAGAACAGGCATGTAAACCTGAGGGAACCAACACAAATGAGGTGAGCGGTGTGACCATCCTGGCTCTCTGCCTGGAAATGCTCTCTGGACCCCAGCGCAGGAAGGGGATCCCAAACAGAGAACAATGATCTTGCTGAGTTGAGGAGACAGAGATCAAAGTTTGGAAGACAAAGTAGCTGGCACATTCGGAGTTAAAAATGGGGGAGATGAACTTTAAAGGGGCTACACAGATAAGATGCTCCCAAAACCAACACTGGGGTCTACTTGAGTCTTAGCCGGGTACGAAGTTGCCCAGTGGAGGGTGACAGCCTGCAGGGCCAGGCAAAGGGAAGCCAGAAGCGGAGCTCACTCAGGCTGCGAGAGCCTTTCTTCATTACAGACATCACTAATGTCAACTGGACTCCTGCAGTGGGTCCCACTTCGCTTCCTGTAACTCAGTCTCTCCAGGTAGCCAGAAGAATCTCTCTATAATGTATATCAGATCATGCATTGCCCATGTTTAAAA